GAAAAACAGGAATTGGGGGTGGAGCAGCCGTTTACATACGTTCTTGCTTGGAGGTGCACCAAGTTCATAACCTCGAGTTTAACAATCTTGAGGAATCCATATGGTGCTCTGTAAGATTGTCTAGTACTTCCAGGTGTCTAGTCGGAGTCATTTACAGGAAGCCAACTGCCGACACCGAGTACGATAGTCGTATGCTGGAAGGACTATCCCGCTCTACTCGTCTCGGTCTCACACACATCCTGATTCTAGGGGATTTTAATCTCCCTAGAGTCAACTTCGCGGAACACACGTATACTGGAGGCGACAACTCAATTGAAGCTCGGTTCTTCAACATCATCGATGACTTGGGATTATACGAAAATGTGAGGTCGGCAACTCGTTGGAGAAACAGTCAGACACCATCGCGCTTAGACTGTGTATTCACAAACGAAGAATTTCTAGTCGACAACCTCTCAATCCTGGCTCCTCTGGGAAAAAGCGATCATGCCGTCATAGCCTTCAGTTTTTGTCATCAAAACTAAGCTAAGGTATCCCAACAATAATTTGCGTTGGAATTTTAAACGGTTGAATGTGCCAGCTCTACACGACTATCTACAACAGGTGGTTTGGGATGTTCACCCTTAACTCTATGTGGATGGTCACTGGGACTTCTTACTGCACACGCTCTTATGTGCTACAGACCATTCAGTTCCTCAAACGGTTCCCAAAAGCTGCAAGCCACCTACAGTAATCAAGAACCGTACCCTTCGCCTGCTAAGCCTCAAAAGGCAGTGTTGGGCGGAATACAAACGAACTAATAACGATGGAGCGTATAGGCAATATAAACATATCAGGAACATATGCACGAAGGCTATAAGAGAAGATAATCTTCAGTACCAAACAAAGCTTATGGACAAATTCGCCTCTAACCCTAGAAGCCTATTCCGTTATGCAGCCTCTCTTCGTCAAGCGAAAACTGGAGTTTCTCAACTGGTAGGTCTTAACGGCTCGACCAACAACGATGGCGACGCCGCTAACCTTCTGGCTGAACAATACTCCCAGACATTTCAACCGACCGACATCAATTTTACTGATGGCAGTTTCATCTGCGATTCAACAGGACTTTCCGAAGTGAACCTAAGCGCTGACTTGGTGTTCCGGAAACCGCAGCACGTATGACTAGACACTTCTCCTGGCCCGGACATGGTCCATTCCGTCATACTGAGGGAAGCAGCCTCAACCCTGGCAACGCCGCTTAGCGTGATGTTCTCACACACGCTAAGTCGAGAAAAACTACCGGAAAATTGGAGGCTCGCTCACATCACACCAATTTTCAAAGGAGGTCGACACAGCGAACCTTCAAGTTACCGACCGGTGGCTCTTCTCTCAATACCCTCAAAAATCATGGAGTCCCTGATATGCGATGGTATAAGTGACTATTTACTATCCTTAAATTTCTTCTCATCCCAATAGCATGGTTTCAGGAAGGGTTACTCTTGTATAACCAACCTGCTGACTGCGGTGGACAGATAGACAAGCATCCTTGGTCACAAGGGGAAGGTTGATATCATCTACCTAGATTTCTCAAAAGCTTTTGTAGGAAGCAATTTCCCACAGATTCAACTCTAAACTAATCTCTAGACTGTCGAGTACAGAGTCTTGGTTTGGCCAAAGTCAGAACAAGTAAGCTATTTGGCTATATAAACTTTATCTCTTTCTAAAACATAAATTAACATCGTTAGCGTACAAACAAACAGTACGGTCTATTAATACAGAGAAAAACAGAGACAAATAACATACCGAACAGTAGCTAGAGAATAGGAAAAATGAGTCAACAAGCCAAAATTGTTTTACAATGAACATTAAACTGTGATTGGTTAATAAAGAGATACAGTCGTACAAGGTCAAAAGGAGTTGATGTGGTGGTGGGCGTTTCCCTTATTATTGGTGGGTTCGTCTATCAATCACATTTTACAGCTTTTGATAAGGTTAACCATACATGTCTTATCAATAAAATCATACGATTGGATATTAGACCACCTCTAATCGATTGGCTCACTTCATACCTGAAAAATCGACATTTTAAGGTCAGGGTTAATTTCACTTTATCTCAGGCTATGGAATGTCCTAGTGGGGTCCCCCAGGGCTCAGTACTAGGGCCTCTTCTCTTCTTGATCTACATAAATGATCTTCCTCAACAGGTATCGTCAGACTTATTACTTTTTGCCGACGACGTGAAACTTGGAAGAGAGGCACGCAACCAAGACGATATACAGGCACTTCAGGAGGATCTGACTCGACTTCAAAGTTGGGCAGACGATAACAGATTTACCTTTAACACTTCAAAGTGTAAAGTAGTCCATCTGCGACATGTCGCAAACTACAGTTACAACTTAGGAAACTCCTCTCTAGTAGTATTCCAAGTCGAAAAAGATTTAGGAGTCCTGGTGCCCCATGACTTAAAGTCTTACGCTAACTGTGACAAAAATGCCTTCCGAGCAAACCTTGCACTGGTAACGTTGAAGCGCATTTTTGGACAGTTTGACGGAAGAACTTTCCATGTAGTCTTCAATAGTTTTATCCGTCCCCATTTAGAGTACGGAAACATAGTACTCCCCCCTCACTCCAAAAGGACAAGGTCACTCTGGGGCGTATCCAACGGCGAGCCACGAAATCAGTTCGAGGACTCAAATCTAAACCTTACGAAGAACGCCTCCATTCACTAGACCTTTACCCATTAGAGTATAGGCGTCTTAGAGTTGATTTATTAATGGCTTATAGTATTCTTAACGCTTCTGGACATCCTCTTAAACACCTACTCAAGCTTAGTTCCAACACTAACCTAAGGGGTAACACCCAGAAACTGGAAACACAACATAGCAAGACGGAATGTAGACACAACTTCTACTCCTTAAGAGTTGTCAAATGCTGGAATTCGCTGCCGGCCGAGCTAGTCCAAGCGACTTCCCAGGAGTCCTTTAAGAGGCAACTTGATCTATTCTTAAGGAATAAGGATAGTATCACACTATGATTTACTAATTTCTTTTCCTCTTTTATTGTTAACATACCTAGGTTCCTGCCTGGAGGATTTGGTGATCCCCTGCTACTAGACACGAAAGCCTGTTAGGCGAAAGCTTCTTCTATTCCGTCCACAACCATTTGAACCATTTGAACATAAAGAAACTCAAAGGACTGATAAAACAACTGCTTATGGTGATCGTTATTATATTTTCCACTCTTGCTGCGAGACATTTTCTTTTGTTAAACGTTTTACATCAAAACTGATTGAAATTCACTTTATATTAAACGTACTTAGTCCATGATAATCCCGACATTAGATACATATGTATTTAGTCTTTACAACTGGTTAGTGACCAATGTCGTGTATGTCCGATCGTTCTTAGTGCAGATCGGATTCAATCGACCGAGTTTCAGTGTGGCCACTAGTCTAGGTGACTTGATATCGCGTGCACTAAATTAAGATGAGGTGTTGTTCGAAGGTAGACGACAGGAGATCCTGGGTCTTGGTCTTTTGCCGTTTACTCGTCAGCAAGATGTACTCGTGATCTTGAGGTAACTAATGGAGTCGACCTCGTGTCCCTTGATTGATAGAATTCGATTTGCACTAAGAAGGACCTGACACATATGACATTGGTGACTACTCAGTGATCAACCAATTGTAAACACATCTCGGTCCTACAAGAGGGCAGTGGAGAAGGAAGGAGAGACAATCGCTGAGATTAAAGAGCAGCGGGACAGGTAAAGGGAGCATTTTAGGGAACGTTTGAACAAACAAACCCAAATGGACCTCTCGGGCATCTGCGCAGCACATATAAATTTTCCTACTGCTGTCACTTCACAACAACGGTGGAAGTCAGGATGGCTATCAGAAAAACCGATAGTGAGAAAGCTGTAGGACCAGACAAATTACCAGATGAGGCAGTGAATTCAGACATATAGGTAAATGTAAACGTGCTCCACATTTCCTCCATAAATATTTTAGAGGAAGAACAACTGGAGAGAAGGATACCCCATCAGGATATGAAAGATAAAAGACCTCAACACACTATTGTCAGCACCAGGAAAAGTCTTCAACAGGCTGTTGCTGAACCGAATGGAGGGCTCAGTAGACATCCAACTTCGAGATGAACAGTTTGGATCCCGTAAAGATCGGTCATGCACGGACGGGATCGTGACACAACAAATGTTTTTTGAGTAGCCAATTAATTGAGACTCGTCATCGTACATCAAGTTCCTTGACTATGAGAAGGCATTTTATAGAGTGGATAGGAGAACATTACGGAACCTTCTTCGACACAGGAGTGAGTAAGTGAGAAAATCGTCTACGTCGTCCGGAATTCATACGACGGACTACAATGAAAAGATGTGAGATGATTCCAAGGACAGGCTGGTGTCAGACAAGACTGTTTACTCTAATCCTTTCCCTTTCTTGTGGCTGTTAATTGAGTTCTGAAGACTTCTAGACCTCACAGAATATTTTTAGGGCGTTCATCACCAAACATTTAATACTGCAGGGACAAAAATAAATGTTGATGCAATTTACGCGTTCGACACATTATGTGTTGTGTTCCGTGAAGTCGACAAGATACTAGGTGACATGAATTCCGATTATGAGAAGCTGGATGCCTCTCAATAAAAATATTGAGATTCGTGTACAGTTCGAAGATGCAACCAGAATCAATCCAGAAACTTTCAAGTTTTAGGACTGCCTAAAACGTGTATCCTTACAGATAATTGAGTCTCTTTGTCTCGTATAATAGTTCACGGTAACTCAGCTGCAAACCACAAAAAAGCAGTAACGTCCACATTGTCCTCATTATGTCCAATGAATAAAATAAATTGTTTATTGGTCGAAGTAAGTTTCAAGATGGACGTTACTTCATGAACGATCCACATGTTATATTTACACAGAAAGCTAAGTATCATATAGACAGGGATCATAAACAAATCTGCCTGTAATTTATGCTTCCAATAAGAGTTCATAGATTATTTCCCTAATTTTTGCGTTTGTCTGTAATCAGGTAAGCTTACACGTAGTAATTGTGTCCCATTTTGTTTAGTTTCATGGTGTTATTAACTAGAGCTTGTGAGTTGGGCTCGATCATACCTGACTATTCACGATTGCTGAGTGTTCCAGCTCATAAGAAATGATGTAAGCCTTTTTGTGATAGGAACAGATAAACGTTTGGGGAAATTTTGGGGTTTCGGTCTCATTTCCCCAAAATTTACTATAGCGGCTTCCCCAAAATGGACCAAATTCCCCCAAAGTTGGCAGCTCGGGACGGTTTGACTCGTGCATGCGAGTCTAACTAGACTAACATAGACCGCAAGTCTTCTGTACCTACAACATAAATTTTAATATGGAAAGATCAGAACTTAGAACAAACTGACATTGGAATTGTCATTACTAAATATCTTGTGTCAGGGTTGTCCACTATTCTCCTTTTTATATAGTTTGTCCTTCTGGAAATAACGAGTTCCTCATAAGACTTTCCAGCGGCCTAAGATGACATCATTTTGTTAAAACCCTAACGTAATACAGTCTCTTGAGGCTTTTAGCTCTAATAATCCTGTTACTACATCTGCTCTGGGATTTGCCTTGACGATTTTGTCTCGGTATGCTAATGGGGTATGACAACTTGAATAGATGTACGCATATACCAGGCTGACTGATATGGATCAGTATCGTTCACAATAGTGCAGATCTATTCAATTTTTGTTTTGCTGTCGATCGTCAGTTCATTCATCTGCACCTTCTTACCCTATCTTTTCAAACCTGATTCTTACTGCCTACTCTTTCTCATGATTACTGCTACTACACTATTCCGAACATCTTTGCTCTTCATCTTTAATTTCATCTCATTGCAATCTAGTACGGCAATGTGGTCCAAATACACATGTTTTCCACACCCTATGTTAGACAACGATTAATTCCGAAGGAATTAAAGTGGGTATGACTATTGAATGGCTCCGTTTGTAAATAAGCTCGTTTTTAAGTTGTTGATATAAACCAGCACTTGTTTTGTCAGTTCACTTAATACTTAAAAGTAGTCATTTAGTATAATCTAATTCTCTAGTTCTGAGTATTTATTGAATTCCACTCTCTATTTTCTTATTAGGTGTAATTTCAAAGACCATGGCTAGTATGTTTGTTACAAGGGTGATTACAAGAGTTCCCAAGGTTCCAATTCTTAGTAAGCTTGCAATAAAACCACTTTTTATTTCATCTATACTTTAGTGCCTTGTAGGTTTTCCCGGCGCAGACTACCACCTGAATACAGAAAGCAGTATTTAGAAAAAATAAGTAATGGGGCTCTAGATAAATACCGAAAATCGGACTTTGTTCCGTATCCTGCCCTGAAAACACAAAGGTTATGGGAAGTCCAACCACAAGAACCAGAAAAGGAGACGAAGTATGTCATATGGTTTGTATCGATCCCGTTAAATTCTTCAATAGCGATATCAAATATCAGTCAGAAATTATTTACTTTGACTATAGTATATTCGTTAAACCGTATATGCGTAGTTCAATACTGAGACTATTGAACTACACTAGGTTGACAACAAGATACCTGTTTATTAAAAAAAAATTACCTGGCAGTTATTGACGTACGCCTTAAGCTATATAAATAACTTTTGGAACATCTACACTGATTATTTATCATGTTTAATGCTTGCTCGAATAGTAACACTTTACGAAGTTAATCCTGAGTAGTTCATGTGGCTTGATGATGTGATATTCTCAAATGAATATCAGAGATCAAGAACTACTAGACAATCGTAACTTCTATATTAAGCTAAGAGTATTCTATCTATTTTTCCGGAAATCTCAATCATTTCAAGCCGAGAACACCGGTAAACATAATTCTTGGTTCCGATAATATTTCATGAAAAAAACATGTTAATGTGAAGAGCCAATCAGGTATATGTCGACAACCAGTTTCGGACAAGCTGATGCATTCTCGAGATTGATGAACTCAAACCGACCAATAGATGAGGATTGCATCATTGCAGAAGTATCATTTGAAGCTGAAGCAAAACGAGTTATGTCGGATGTGATAGAGGCGTTACCAGTAACAACGAATATAGTCCAGGATGCTACGCTATCAGATTATAAACTTTAGCAAGTCGCGAAGTATGTGCATGGCGGTTAGCCGAATAAAGTCGCTAGTGTTTAAACAAAGTATTTCCACCGACGTGGCACGTTGTCATTACCAACACCTATCTACTGTTTAGGGAATTCCTGGTTATCCCAACTACTCCCACTCAGATCACCCTGGTGTGTTGCATATAAGGTCACAAACACGCAGTTATGTATATCGGCTACTGATGGATAAACACATTGAAAGTATCTTAAAGAAATATCCACAATCTGTACAAGCCTTTAAACTGCCACCAAAAATACAGCCATCCTCATGTCCAAGTTCAGTAAAGCCATGGTTCCGTGTTCAACACTTTCTTATTATCATCGATTCATGTATAAAATGACCAGAAAGTTATTTAATACCTCAGACTTCACCGGCTTCAATAATGACGGTGCTGAATAGGCTTTTCGGACATTTGAGTTTTCTGGAAAGACTAGTTACCGATGGTTAGAGACCTTGAATAACATGGCTCAAAATCGTTTGCAATGGCGCGGGTGCATCCACTCTTTGTGTTCTACCAAATTCTAATCTTCTGAATTCTTCATGTTCCTTTTTTCTCTTTCCAAATTTATTTGACTAGATTATACTCCTTGAATAACATCTTCAAAACCTAATGTTTCCGATCACTGCTTATACTTTTATTACCTCTACCACTATGGGATTTGAATCGGCAATTGTATCTCTGTGCTCATGTGGTATGGCAACTCGAACTGATGTACGAACGTACGAAGTTCTACGTTGTGACTGACTAACTGATTGGAAACACTTACAGACAATCGACCTCAGTTCACATCTGAAATCCCAAACTTCTGTTTAAAGAACTCAGTTACACACATTCAGTTACCGCCCCATCATCCTCAGTCAAACGGCCAGGTTGGACGTGTTGTCGATACCTTCAAGCGGCTCTCATCTAGTCACATGGGGAGAGCATGACAAAGGAGGTCATCCAGGATTTCCTGAGAGTATACAGAATAACCCCGAATCAAGCCTCACCTAACGGTCTCCCCTACTGGGTCAGTGTTTGGAAGATTGGGACTTAATTTGATAGCATGTATCTACAAAGAAGAAGACGGGACTATAAACCCAAGGAGAAGAGAACTGATCTTCAGTTTCTGTTATAACTTGTGGTTTTGTGCCCTACTAATGTATAACGTAATGATACCGTCAATTAGAGAACAGTAATTTATCGACCGGACCAATGACGCATAAAACCCGTACGAGCAGTCTAGAGTCCTTAACAGACCTGCTTCCTGCCTAGCCCTGCCTGTTTAGTTCAGAACATCAGTCTCAGCCTCTGCGATATGAATCATGTGTTTCAAACATACTAGGTTTATATACAAACCAAACAGACCACATCGTACCATAAAATAAAAAATAACATTTGTACAAGATTTAGCCAAAAGTGACTGTGAATGTGGGAGATAGTAATTGATAGACTGGGCATAATTCAAGAATGGTAAATTGTATAATAATATTTCATAGATCAAAATAAGGCTTATGATAAGAGAAACACGAATACGTATAGTTTAGTTATTTAACAACTATACGATAAAAATATACGTATAGTATTAGTCCAGAAATAGATTCCAACAGTTACCATTCATTATTCTCATTGAGATATAACAGTTTCCTAATGGGTTACCAGTGTACGTAAGAAACTTTCGATATTGGCGACCTACATGGATAGCGGGTGTTATCGTAAGAAGAGTCGGTGATGTAATGTACGAAATTGATTTCAGAGGTAAACTCCTGACACGACATGTAAACCACAGAAGATTAGATCCAGATAAACAACCTAAATCGAACCTGAAACTAGATTATTTAATCGGTACAGTCAGTTGGGAAAATCAGGATCAACGCTGACGAAGTGATGACCAGGCCCCAGCCAGTCAGTTGGCTACAACTTGGGACCAAGAACATATATGCATCGGTCCAAGTTGCCACCCCGTTAGCACAACAAGATAGCGAATTCATAGACGTAGTTACTTCAATGGTAGTAATATATAAAGGATTGTGTATCAGGATATAATACAGGAAGAAAGAATTAGGCGATCAGGCCCCAAAAAAATCATCAAGAAGACGACAGTGCAATACACTTTCTCGCCCAAGTAGTCATTTGGGGTGTTAGCGCATAGTATGCCGTGTATCAGTACCAGATTTCGGACACCTCACGTTACAGCACATGTGCTACTGAAATTCTAATCTAAGTTGATTGTTCTACTAATTAGTATGTATGTCATGTGGCAGTGGTTTTTGTCGTGCTACACGGTTGTGAAGCATGATTATTGACACTGGGAAACGCTACTAATATTCGAACATATGACCATCAAAACAGTTTTAGTGTGTAACTAGAATAACCCATGGTAAATGTTGACGTTAGACTTAGAGCCCTAGGTAATTTGACTAATCTGGTTGCTAATCTTTAACTGACAAATGTGAATCTTAACTATGTATACCGAGTCACCCCAAAATTGATGGCAACTCGATAAAAATAAGTTTTTAGATCAGAACATGGGATTGCCCAACTTAGTAGCAACTTGGTAAACAAGAATTAAGCTTACTATTGAGTGACCTACAAAATTCATATCTCTCAATCGCTTATGTTTCAGCAGATCTTTAGTCATGTTTATTCTCCTTTCTATATATTCTGTAAGTAAGCATGCGATTTTACTTGGGAAAAAGGCCTACGATTTTGAATGATTGTACTGTCTCTCGATGTCAGTCCAGTTAGGAATTCGTGAGTAGTTGCCAGTTCTCTACATTGTGATGTTGCAAATCATCCGTGCATTAGCATTGTATTGTATTGAAAAACCAAAATATACTGACTTGACTATACTCGAAACTGTACTTCGTAAAAACGTAGCTTATTTCGTCTCAAAATTGTTGGAGAGTACAAACTTGTTTGCTCAAAATATTAAAGCCCAGTAATTAAATGCCCTTCGTGATACTATTCGAAATCTATAAAATTGTCTCAAATGGATTTAATCTCCATCCTACTTTGAACGAATCAATACCTCTCGTCTATTCATTCATATCATTCTTTTCGTTGACTTGAACCCATAAAGACTTACTGTCATTTTTGTGCAATCTCACGTGTATAGAAAGTTCTTTTTATTAAACAGTAGCTGCCTTAAATAATTTCGCTTTCACAATTTGTACTTAAATTGGCATGTTTTAATTTTTTAAGCTAACCAATGGTTTCAAAGATTGGCGCATGTTCACCTCTACTGTTTTATTTTATATTTGAGGCTACAATGTTGTTCAGTTACAATAGTTTTATTTCCTCACATTTGTTTAGACGCCTGTATCAAGAACTCGTACCACATTTTATTGATCCAAGATATCGCGATCGTCTACGTGAACGTCTTGAGCGTCATGAAATGATGCTACGTCGTCGAAATTTAGATATGCCAGAGTTTTATGTGGGTATGTTTGCTTATGTATTTTTTGTCAAGCATCCAATCATGTTATAGGTAATAGGACTTGATAAATTGCATAAGTATTCTTAGCACTGACGACCATAAAACAATAAGTCAAAAGCAACATCCTTTTTTACTCAGTACAGAGGTAGAAATTCAATCCTAACCACAAGGTTTACTAAATCTGTCAAAAAACTGCTTAGATCTATATTTATTGTGTATAATTTTTAACAACCGTCTTCAAGAATAAGACAGTAACTGGCTTTATTGAGATATTAACAAGAGGCTTGATGGAGTTTTGTTCTCTGAGCTGGATGGTCTGGTCGTGGAGCTTTCATCATCCACCTGAGCTACAACTCTTCATCATCTCAAGAGGTAAATGTATTAGCAAGCGCTCAGTGTAGATATTGAGAAAATAATAAAACATGAATAATATAAAATCGATTATAAAGTACTGAATTCTTAAAGTCGTTTTCATGAGCCTAAATATTTCTAACAATAAACTTCATATATTCATGCGGCAATACCAAACTAAACTAAAAGTAAATATTAAAAGGATTCCTAAATTACAGGTACTTAAGCCGAGCCAATGCAGTATGCATTCTACCGACTTTTTGATAAGTCAGATGCAGATTTTGTTTAATCCAATAGTTTCTAGGCAATACTATTAATTATTCACGTTACTAATGAATTGCTATACCATGTATTTGTATCAAGCCCCCAAATGCCCTGGTATGACCGAGAGCGGGGTGGGTTCGCTCTCCCTCTCGAAATACTCTCACACGGCCACGCGTATACAGCCTCTGCCAGGGAAGTCCTACTCATTGCCTTCTCGTGGTGGGAATTTTGTCTTCGAAAATGAGAGGACGAGAAGCGAATGTTTGGCGCTTTAACCGGATTCCAAACCAATGGTGCACAGGGGCTCCGATATCCTGCGGGAACAAATGGCGTATGAACCAATTGTTGGTCACCGGCTACCATGGGACTGCATCTCCTTACGATGCTCCATTGCCTTGTGGGTTAGACCTTTAGGTCAAAGGCTCGGGGAGTGGCCCCCTAAGAAAACCACCTGCTTCAGTCTGGGCACCCGGGCAGTACCTCAGCCCGCACAAAAAACATGATAAACTGTCTACTTGTGAAAAATATTCCTCTCCCTGCAAATAACAATCAAGTGTCTCGCATTATTATTATTATTATTATTATTATTATTATTATTATCTACTATCCCATTATTCACCCTCTATTCCTACTCTGTCTATACTTATTTTTTCAACTTATACAGCAGCTCGTCTATGGTGGAAATTCGACTCTATCTAAACGTTTTCGAGTCACTGTCCGGTTGAAAATTTATTAAAATAAATAAATAATAAATAAATGAAAATTGTATGCTACCACCAAATACGATTACTGAAGTGGTTTTTCTGGAAACACGTGCACCATTCAAACTGGCTGCCTTCAACGTTCACACATTTATGCAGGTCGGACAACAGATAGGGCTGGCTATGTTGTTGGAAAGTTTTAATATCGACGTTTTTGTCTATTCAAGACTGTGGTGAAGTACTACAAATTCGCTTTTGATCTGTCGCTTCAAAAAGCTTGTTTTACGTGCGCTTATCCGGAGACACTGTGGCATCTTCGTCCGGTGTTGCTGACGTTGGTGTCGCACTAAGCTCTAGAGCTGAGGCAACACTAGTCGATTGGATCCCCATTAACAGTCGTTTGATTATGTGCTGTTAGATTAGAAAGTTCCATCAAAGTGAGAAGAAATCAGGCGTGAGAAACGATGTCTTTTCGTCATCTCCGCCTACGCTCCGAGATTGCAGCCCGGATGCAATCAAGGATGAGTTTTACCACCAGTTATCTGTTCTTCTCCAGAAAGTGCGTTCGACAGATATTGTAGTACTAGCCGGAGACTTGAATACTCAGGTCGGCGTCTAGGCACAGAAGAGAGTCGTTAAGGTGGCCGGTGGGGACTTGCTGGTCGCAGGACAGATAACGGGAACCGTCTACTGCAAATGTGCACAGACAACAACCTGTTTCTGGCTAGCACTAACTTTCGACACAGTCATCGCCGATGTGCCAGCTGGCGTCCTCCCTCTGCATCCCAAACCTGGACTCAGATTGATCACATCGCGATCAGCTACCGCTGGCGTGGTTGTGTACAAGACTGTCGCTCCTTTTGTAGTACCTATCTGGACTCTGACCATGCCTTGGTCTGCGCAAATCTTACCTTACTTTTCAGTGGACAACGAGGTGACCCCCACCAACAAATTGATATTAGCAAGCTGGTTGCAACTTCTGTTGCAAGTAAGTATCGAACCGAGCTAATTTCTAGGCCAGCTACCATTCCACCGAAAAGTATAGATGAGCATTGGTTGCAATTGCATGACGCCATGAAAATGGCGGGTACAGTCAGTTGTGAGCTTGCGAAACGTCCCGTTTATAAGCACTGGGTTTCTTCAGGTTCCTTACAATTCATTGAAGCCCGTCGGTCTACTCCGGGTGGCCGTGAGTTTGGCCACAAACGAAGGATGTTACGTAATGAATTTGAGAAAAGCTTGCGTAAGGACCGAGAAGCCTGGTGGTCGAAGCTTGCTAATGAGCTGGAAGCAGCAGCTGCATCTGGTAACTACCGGAAGCTCTTCCAGCTCATCCGAGCCACTGGCAGCAAGAAGTCTGGTGTGAGTGAAACAATCTGCGAGGATGATGGGATGCCAATCACTAACATCCATCGATGTCTTGGACGATGGGCAGAATTCTTCGAAGGGCATTTCAACTGGCCTGCTCCTCCGGGAACATCTGTCAGATTGTCCTGCCCTCCATGGAGAGTGAAGACTGATCCACCAAATGAGGCGGAAGTCCGCAAGGAACTCCAACTTTTGAAGCGCTACAAATCCCCGGGCCCAGATGACTTACCTCCGGCCCATTTTAAAGATGGCGGTGACTTTCTGACTAAGCAACTGACTGTGTTGTTTACAAAGGTCTGGGAGCGAGAGAGTGTACTAACGTCATGGAATGAGTCGATAGTTGTCCCTATCTTTAAAAAGGGTTCGCGTCGTTCCTGTAACGACTACCGGGGATAAGTCTACTTCCGATTGCGTCCAAGCTATTAGCTTCCGTCATACTTCGTAGGTTGTTCAAAACCCGAGAAAGATTGACTCGCGAGGAGCAGGTTGGTTTTCGTTCTGGTCGAGGATGTATTGATCATATCTTCACCCTCCGTCAAATGTTAGAACACCGTCATACTTATCACAGGCCAACAATCGTAGTGTTTCTTGACATTAGTGCTGCCTTCGATTCACTGGACAGGACTGTTCTCTGGGATTGTCTATTGAAGAAGGGTGTGCTTGAGAAGTTTATTAACATCCTAAAAGCCCTATATACAAACACCTCAGGTAGAGTGAAGGCATACAACCACCTTTCTCCATTGTTCTATTCGAGCAGTGGGGTTAGACAGGGTTGCCCAATCTCACCATTCCTCTTCAACTTCGCCATCGACGACATTCTGGAAACAGCTCTGATGAATGTAAGTAATGGTGGTGTGGATCTGTTGCCCGGAGAAAGACTTCTCGACCTTGAGTATGCGGATGATATTGTCTTACTGTGCGATAATGCCCAAGCCATGCAATCCGCACTTAATCAGTTGGCAATCAATGTCCGTAGGTACGGTATGTGCTTTGCAACTTCGAAGTGCAAAGTACTTCTACAAGACTTGCAGGATCCTAATCGTGTACTCAGCCTGGATGGTGAGCAGATAGAAGTAGTCGAGAAGTTCGTGTATCTGGGTAGCTGCATAATTGCTAGTGGTGACGTGATTGATGAGATTAATGCACGTATAGTGAAAGCCAGAGTGGCTTATGCCAATCTGGGCCATCTTTGGCACCTTCGTGTTGTTAGTCTGGCTGTAAAGGGTCGGATCTACAACGCGTCGGTGAGAGCAGTTTTGCTCTATGCTTGTGAAACCTGGCCTCTCCGAGTTGAGGACGTTAGACGACTGTCTGTGTTTGATCATCGTTGTCTCCGAAGGATTGCTGACATTCAGTGGCAACACCATGTCAGTAATGCAGAGGTTCGGCATCGTGTGTTCGGGCACAGAGATGATAATTCAATTGGTGTCACCATCTTGAAAGACCGACTTCGGTGGCTTGGACGTGTTCTACAAATGTCGTCCCAGAGAATTCCACGTCGTGCATTGTTTGCCGACGCTCGGACTGGTTGGAAGAGGCGGAGAGGTGGTCAGTGCATGACATGGTGTCGTGGTATGAAAGAAAGCTGCAAAGGGCCGGCTTGTGTTGGTCCTTCACGACTCCCTGGTTGCGGTCCGAGAAGTGGTGCAACACAGTGGCTAGAGACGTTATCAGATATGACTCAGAATGGAAGCCAGTGGCGATCCTGCTGTAATCTTTTACTTTCTTCATAAAAAGTGGTTGTATCTTCATTAACTGATAGATTTCTCCTGATTGTACCCTTCCGTTCCCCCGTTATTATTCTTATTATTATTACACTACCTTACACCAATCTCTTCGTTATTGTCCTCTTTTCTACGCTCCTCACCTTTTTTTCCTTCTCTTTAAGTTCTCATTGTTTTGTGTGACGCATATATATTTGGCGCACTCTTGTTCCAATATTTATGTGTTCAAATAAAATAATAAAATAAAACATCAAGCACTTCTGTAAATAGAATAAAATGTGTTTTAGATTTGGTGAATTTCAATGTTTTTATACTAATAGTGAAATAGAAATGTTTTATATAGAGTATACTTACACATCTGTCTTCATATTAATCCGGAGAATTGTTTTATTCGCTTGGCTGAATCCATGTACCACTGAATAACTATTTCTAGTATAGGATTAACCCAATCTCTTTTGTCATCTGTGGTTTATGGATAAACTTAACCCTTTCGCTGACGAGTTTCTTGATGTACAATATTCTGATTCGCCATTATGGAAGCCATATGAAAAAGTCTCATATTCTCAACGTCTTCATTCGTTTCTATTATTTTCGTAGCTCATTAACCTGTAGGTATGTAGCTCAATAGTTTAATGTCTTTACTTTCAATCATAAAGCCATAGACTTGAGCTTCGATCCATTTAAAGTATTTTGGGGAATGGTTTTGCCACTAAATCATACAGCAAACCTACAGAATTACCTTTTACATAAATTTGTCTTTTGTAAATGTGTCTATTTTTAGTGATTACAGTAAAGTATTCTGGAAAAATAATCAGGAATTTTTAAATAATACGGAATTTCGCAATAGGTTTTGTTGTACGAACTGTTCTTATTTACTAGTGTTTTAAAGAAATCAACTTTGTAATTGTCATCGTATCTTATGTTTCATAAAGAACACATCCATGATTTGTAGTCCTGTTGATCTGTACCAGGTAGTTGTAAAATCTTTTGTCTACAATGTTTCAAACCGTGAGTGTACGATTAAAATTGACTGGTCTTGATACTTGTTATATTGTTAAGTGTCCCTACGTGTAAGATTTAGTTAACGTTCACGTTGATCGATTGTGAAGTATTTATGTAATGATTAGACTCGTTTACGACCTACTAATTTATACACTTAAATATACTAACCACAAAAAAGGTTACAAATGAACTAATAGGACTGTGGAGTTGGGAAACTGACTTTTGTGGTTAACCAACTTTCCATTTTGAGTTGTGAAAATAGAACATTAACTAGTGAATTGAAACCAATATTATAAATATAGCTACAAAACAATACTATAATCATGTATTTAAACACAGTTTGTCTAAACTGTACGAAACAGTTCAGTACTAGCCTATTCAACTTACACGTTAGCTTATTTCTTGACCTTTTTTTCCAGCTTTATACATAATTTCAATTCTTTAAAATGTTTGATTTCAGTATTTTTCTAATATATGTTGTTTTAAAAGGGTCAGTTGTTGCCGTAAGGACTGCTGATAAATTTGCGCCAAATCAATCACATCGATTCTTGGGTATTTGCATAGAACGCTTTAACGAGGGTTTATGGACAAAATTTACTCTTCGCAACGTGATTGAGAAAACAGGTTTGTTCTTCCTTAAAACAAATCCTTTATTTGTATTTCCCATGGTTGGTTTGTAACAATGGGTATGTAGAAAGCTACAATCTCTCGCTTAATCTAAAAATATACCTCCATTACTTCCACGTGATCGCATATCTTGTTCTCTATAAGTAACTCATGTCTTGTGTTTTATCTCGTTTTCCTATATTTTAGTAATGTATATGTCACAAAGTGGTATCACAGCAAAGAATAATGCTACAACCATTCTTATCCAGTGACTATAAAACTTAATTCATATAGCTGTCATTCCGAAAAGATATTTTAGTCAGCAATATATGCTCTTACATTATTATAATCAGTACTTATAAACACTATTAACCTGAAACCCCCTACGGATTGTGTATGGTTCTTTTTTGACAGTTTGTTTTATATTTTCCCTTAATAATACCAGCTATATCACATATTTAATAAGTTTGATAACTTGAGATTTCAATGAATCCTATTCGTTCGTACACATTAAAGTATTATACTCTGTTTTAACTAACAATCAAGCCACTTTTTCATTATCTACTGTTTTAGCTGTTGAAATTCAGTATGAATTATATAATCCAACTATTCAGTCAATTGAAGTATTACTACTAGAGAAACGTTTAGATCGTAACCTTTTGTATTTACGTGATGCTCCATTGGACGAAAGTCGATTTCCATTTGATATGTCGCGTATTCCATATAATCCTTCTGATCCTGTCCCAATTAATGACAAGAAAGTATGTTTCTATCATAACAATATCGGGAAATTTTATTTATTAGTAGTAATATCTTGTTACTTAAGTTATTTGTTTGTTGCAGCTGTTGTTCATTTTGAGAAAACATGTTAGATAGTATACTTACAACCTTTATGACTGGGTAAATGTGACTTGGTGATATATGTCTGTTACCATATCATCATAAAAAAGTAGGAGTCACTTAATTTTATCAATAGCTTTGGTGAACATTCGTTTGATTCTCCTAATCAAAGCAACTTTCTCTGTCTTGTTTGATATTGTTATATAAACTGAACTCGATTTGCAATGAAACCAAAAACTAAACGTATTTGCTAATTTTGAACAGGATGTCAATCTAAATTATTTCGTTTTGGGCAATATGTTATACAGGAGAAATATTATGAAAGCTATTTATCGTAGTACGATCAATTATCAGAATATATGTAGAATATACAACTGACGATTATTCACTAAAATAAAATTATAGATAAAAGTTTCCTCTAGGTGAACTGATGCTAAAAGACAAAGGAACTGATTAGTAAGATATGTTTTTTTTACGTCTGAGGACAAAAGGTTTCTATGCAAAGTTCGCAATCGGAAGTCACGTTATTAAACTTGCAAACAGTATAACCCATAGTTATACATTGATATCTAAAAGTCACTTTACATCCAGTAGATTTAATAATTCTAATATCAGTCATTCATGTTTCTATTATGATATTTCTAATCAAAAAATGATATAAATCAGTGATAAATATCGCTTAATCACTTGATTTAAGCGTTTTTAGTAAATCAAAATTTTTACTGCCCACATTCCGATTGAAGATCTAGAAAAAATTTCGACTTCCAGAGTTATTTATTATTATTTTTATATAAACACTTTCGTATATCTTGATAAGTCTTGTCGATAGAACGCTATATTTATTTCCTAAGCTATTCCGATGACCCACACGCTAGAACTATACAGCGACTTGAACACCAGAGAGAAGACACAAGTATGAGAGAAAATACTTTATCCCAAGGTTCATTTTTGTACAGAAAATCATAGGTATTTATAGATGTTGGCGTCTGTTGAATCAACATCATATTTCAGCCAATCCGTTAACGACATATTATGCTACCAACCAATAGTAGCACGCCACGTTGGAATTCTAGAACGTTCCATCATACTCTGATTGGCTAGGACCCTTCGGCTCCTTTTGGGCCTCTGGAGGCTCCGTTGAAGTTCTCCGGAAGCCGACTCAACATATCCATATATGAATTTATTTATTTTCTGAATTTTTAAACATTTTACTGTTACATTCGTCGTTTCACTTTACAGGGAATTCTTCTTCTAATGATGTTAGACTTTTTCAAGTAAAACATGAATTATAATATATTTATTCGAAGGATCTTTAGTTGTTCCACTTGTATCAACAAAGTTTGGTTGATTTCTTCAAAGTCTTACTTGTGTATTTTGGGACCACTGGGTAAGCAATGTTTGGGTTAGGAATAGAGTACTAAATGGAGATGGTAAGTCGATTGATGAGGTAGTAAATTTCCATCATCTGATGTGGTTGAGACATGTGTATGTATGCCCGCCCACCACCTACATCAGTTGTTGTCATGTGTAAGAGTAAGTTCAAAGAAAGCTGGGGGCGGACAAACGAGGATATGGCGTCAGTCCAATAAGTTATTGACTGTTATTCTGAACCATGTTAGCAGGTGTAAACTACCTGGTGGGTGTCAGCGCAATGATCGCAACAGGTGCTTAAATACACTTAGTGATATTGGCTTAGAATCTGTCTCAGTGGTATAAATGCTTTCACTGTCTTATGTTCGATCCTGCGTTTCAAAATCTTATACTATTTTTCTTTCTTTACGGCTGATCCTGTTACTCTTAGTGCTCTAGGATTTAGCTTGATAATTTTTATCTCACTGTACTAATATGATGTGGAAACGTGGACCAATGTACACACATGACAGGTTCTACGTTAGTTTTATCATATACCTCTTTTTGGTGGTAACTCTGATATACATTCATCTCAGTCACGTTCACGTATTCCACCTTACTAATCTAATTTTGAAACATTGTGAAACGTTATCTACAGTCAAAACGTAGATCTACCATACTAAAGATTAAATTGGTTTTCATGCCTCACTTGACAATTTTTCCTATTTTTACTACAAAAGAATGTAATGTTATTAGTTTATAAACCAAAGTTGTTGACTACTGATAGTTACTAATGTCATCATTATTTAAGTTAAAGCTGTGCCTATTATGCCTATTTTTATGTTTTAAAATCTGTGTAACTGATGTTTTATTTAACGTAGGTAAAACTGCTCCCACCACCATGGGCCTTCAAATGGTATTTACACGGTTACCGTGGGATACACGACACCATGTATGACTATTTAACTCCACAACAGTTATCTGAAATTCAGGACAAAATAAATCTTGTCGATCGATATGATTTGATGAAAATGTATAGGTAAGTTTTTACTAATTTTTAGTCTTCTGTCATTAAGCTTATATTTATGTGCGTTCTGTTTACGAAGTTTAAAAAGCTATAGGAAATCTGAAGCGAGGGAGAGCAGCAGGCTCTAACAGGTTTACTCCTGAGATTTTGAAGGATGGTGGTCCAGTATTAGCAGTGAGATTAACTGAGGTCTTAGGTAGAATTTGGGAACTGGACGTAATCCCATCTGACTGGTCTCAATCACTGATTGTGCCAGTCTATAAGAAAGGACAAAATTCCTCTTGTGACAATCACAGAGGAATCAGTCTGACTAATATAGTGTCTAAAATATTAGCTTCAATAATACTTCGACGCCCAACTAAAGCTCGTGAAGAGCAGACTAGAGAAAACCAGGCCGGTTTTCGACCTGGACGTGGTTGTATAGATCAGATATTCACACTACGTCAGGTTCTAGAACACAGACACACGTTCAGACGCCCCACAATGGTAGTATTTCTCGACCTTAAGGCGGCATTCGACTCTGTTGATCGTAAGGTTCTATGGCAGTGTTTGTCACTGAAAGGAGTACCAAAGAAGTACATTAACCTTATACAGGCTCTCTACTCGAACACAACTGGTCGAGTGAGAGCTTATGGCGAACTGTCATCAGAATTGATTACCTCAAGTGGTGTTCGTCAGGGCTGTCCACTCTCCCCATTCTTGTTCAACTTTGTGGTCGACGTACTTTTAGAGATAACATTCTTTTCATCTAAATTTCCAGGGGTTGAACTTCAACCGGGAGATTCACTTGTTGACTTAGAATATGCCGATGACATAGTTTTATTTGGTGAAGACGCTGACAAAATGCAGAGTCTTCTGACCACTCTAAGCAACAATGCAAGCATGTTCGGGATGCGATTCTCCCCTTCGAAATGCAAAATATTGCTTCAGGATTGGGTCGCATTGACATCCGAACTAATGATAGGGAGTGAAGTAATTGAGCGTGTCGATCGCTTCACTTATACTGGAGGTCACATCAGCCCTTGTGGTCTGGTGTGTGACGAAATCTCAGCACGGATACAGAAGGCTGGACTAGCTTTTGCCAACTTGCGTCATTTATGGCGTAGGCGAGATATCCGTCTATCAACCAAAGGACGGGTTTACTGCGCAGCAGTCCATTCCGTCCTACTTTATGGCTATGAAACATGGTCGGTAAGAGTAGAGGATATTCGTGGGTTACTAGTATTTGATTACAGGTGTCTTCGAAACATTGCTCGTATATCCTGTGACCATCGAGTAAGTAATGTAGTTGTTAAGAAACGGGTACTAGGTAAGGATGGAAAATCAATTGATGAAGTAGTGAGACTTCATCAGTTGAGATGGCTGGGACACGCGTTACGTATGACCAATCACCGACTGCCTCAACGTGCGATGTTCTGTGGGGTAGGAGTAAGTTGGAAGAAAGCTAGGGGCGGCCAGACCGAAACATAGCACAAGTCCATGAAGTCACTGACAAGTGGTCTGAGTCGTGTCGGTAGGTGTAGACTACCTGGGTGGGGACCGTGAGGCGATAGCAACCGATGGTTAGAGATCCTGAATGACATGGCTCAAAATCGTATGCAATGGCGCAGGTGCTTCCACTCTTTGTGTTCCCCTAAATGCCCTGGTACGGCCGAGAGTGGGGATGGTCCGCCCTCCCTCTCGAAATGCTCCCTCATGGCTTCGTGCATACAACCACTGCCAGGGAAGTCCTACTCATTACTTTCTCGTGGCATTACTATTGTATACGAAATGGAGAGGACGAAAAGCGAATTTCCGGCGCTTTAGCCTGGTTGGTGCATGTGGAGAGTCCACCTAGGGTTGTTGGAAAACCCTGACTCTAAACTAATGGTGCACATGGTCTCCGGTATCCTGAGGAAACAATTGGCGTATGAATCAATCGTTGGTCATTGGCTACCATGGGACTTTATCTCCTTACGATGCTCTATTATTTATTATTTATTTGAACACATGAATATTGGTACAGGAGAGCGTCAATATATATGCGCCACACAAACGATGAGAATTCGAAGAGAAATAGAAAAAAAGCTAAGGAGCACAAAAAAGAAAAAGAGAACAATAACGAAGAGATTGATGCTCTATTGCCTTGTGGATCAGTCTTTCAGGTCGAAGGCTGCGGATTTGGCCCTCTAAGAAAAACACCTGTTTCGGTTTGGGCACCCGAGCATTATCACAGCCCTTACACATATCAAATGAGATCTGTGTGGCGCATCTCTATTTGGTGCCTCTGTAGAATTTATAGTCTACTATGATATTAGTACTGCTCTAATAATAGACCTAATCCTACAATTGTAGATTTTTCATGATATAACTGTCTAATCTATAAGATCTTACGTGGAAGTCATACCATCGACTACACCAACTCACTCTATCGTATCAATTACCGATACATGATGTAGAACAAGGTTAGGCTAGAGAAAGAACAGTATATTTAATATGAATAGAAGATATAAGATAACATTCAACAGGGACCACGCCTGCATGGCCGAGTCATGCCATTCGATCAACTCTAATTCATTCAATACATTCTTCCCGCCTTCTCCATCGTTAGGTATTTCCCCGAGTTAAATATTGAATATCTGTTTTCCGAGTAGTGTTGTGTTCAGCTTTGAAGATTGTGTGGTTATGGTCCAATGCCACTATACCTCCTTGTACCAATATTCATGTGTCAAATTAAATAAATATATAAATAAAGTTCTAATCTCCTGGATTCTCCTTGTCTCTTTTTTTTCTATTTCCAAATTTATTTCACTGGATTATGTTTTTTAAATAACATCTTCAAACCCTAATCTTTCGAAATACTGCTTATACTCTTACTACCTCTACCACTACGGGATTCGAATCGACAACTGCATCTCTGTGCTAATGTGGTATGGCAACTGGAACTGATGTACGTACGTACGAAGTTCTACGTTGTTACTGACTGATTCTTTGTTATTATGTGCTGTCACTTTTCTTGTGCACACTGTTAGTCACTCATCACAAAGAACAGCGAACATATAACTTCGGTTCGATAGTTTTCATGCTTCCGTCAGTCAGGGACAATGTAGGACCTAGCATAAATGTTTTATAGTAGTCCACATCACACAGATACAAGGGGAATTAACAAGGTGGTAGCGAAATAGTTGGAGCAGTAAAATTAATCTTAGTAAACAATTAAACATGAATTGCTTCGAAAAATGTCTTCCTAAGTTCGCGATTTAGAATGAGATAGGTAATCTCTGGAATTACATCACAAAAACTGACACTTCACTGTCATCTATCAGGTTAGACACTTGAGGTAGTCTTGCCTGCTTCGGTTCGGATAACTGGGTAGTTTCCCTTTCAAATAAAGTAATGGCGTCGTTATCTGCTCACTGTAAGTGAAACCCACCAACTAAGTTCCATTTCGTTGGGATCATGAACCGATCAATGTCAAACCACCATTGAAAACCTGGAAACACTGGATGGCCGTTTTGTCCTAGTATGAGACTCCTTGACAGTGCACATCCATGATTCCGGATGTGGGGCTCAACCCAGGACTTTAGGCCGAAGAATAGTATTTTGAGTAATTATCGTCATTTTATTTGTGTGTGGGCTGTGATAGCGTCCAGACCGAGTCAGGTGGTTTTCTTAGGGAAACACACCCAGAGCCTTCGACCTAAACGTCTAGTCCGTAAGGCAGTGGAGCGATGACAGGAGATGCAGCCGCAGGTAGCCGGTGACCAACAATTGGTTCGTACGCCGTTTGTTCCCTCAGGATCCTTGGTGCAATGTGCACCATTACTTTTGAATCAGGGTTTTTTAACAACCCTAGGCGGACCCTCCGTGTCTGCCAAACCCGGTAAAAGTGCCTGACATTCGCTTTTCGTCCTCTCAACTTCGTAAACAATAGTAATGCCACGAGAAAGCAATGAGTAGGACTTCCCTGACAGTGGTTGTATGCATGTAGCCATGTGAGAGCATTTGGAGAGGGCGAGAGAGCTTATTCTCTCCACTCTCGGCCATATCAGGGCACTTGGGGGCAAAAGTTCGTAGCGAACAGGATATGAATCGCTCGCGGAAACCCTATTAGATATCGAGTCTCTTGTTGTAGTAATTCAGTAAGAAAAGATGAATTGCAAAGCAATTGAAATAATTGTCTTCTAATATTTTTATCCACAATATGGTTTTTTTAGACAATGTACTAAGGAACTTTTAATAAGTACTTATAAAAGTAATGGCGTACAAAGAGCTTGATCCAATTAATTCTACGAAAATCACAATAATAATTTATTGTCAAATAACAATTTGTTACATGAGGCATGCCAGTTTACAGGCAAGATCAAACTGTTACAAAAGGCTATGTCCTTTGTCAAATAAACATAAGTTGTTTAGCACGTGTTTTGACTTTTTTGTACATTACAGATCACGATTGTGCTTAGAAGAAGAACGAATAGCTTTAGGTGATGTTCAAATTCAACATCAAGATCTTATACGTCATCATGAGCAACGTCGACAAGAGTTAATGGACAAACATAAAGAAACCCAAAAGACTGATAAAAATACTGCTTATGGTGGTCGTTAATATATTTTCCACTCTTGCTGCGAGACATTTTCTTTTGTTAGATTGTAAATACTGTATATTGTCATTTAAATAAACGTTTTACATCAAAACTGATTGAAATTCACTTTATATTAAACGTACTTTGTCCATGATAATCCCGACATTAGATACATATGTATTTAGTCTTAACAATTGATTGGCCACTGGTTAGTGATCAATGTCATGTATGTCCGATCCTTCTTAGTGCAGATCGGATTCAGTCGACCGAATTGCAATGTGGCCACTAGTCTAGGTGACTTGACATCGCGTGCACTAAATTAAGATAAGGTGTTGGTCGAAGGTGGTGAAAAGTCTTGTTAATTGAACGCTAGACTTGGTTCCTAAGCTCTTCTGGTAACCCCCCAGGCTAGAACTACACAGTGACGGCGCAAAGTATGTAAGAAAACAATCCACTCCAAAGGTCCGTTTTTGTACAGAATATATATGGTATTTATAGTACTTTGGATGTTCTTGAGTTTCATGAAAATTCTGGCTTGCTACTAAACATAGTTGCAGTATGGTGATCATCCAATCAGAAGCTCTGCATGTGACTTCACTTCCTTGATGTTTCTGGCGAAACGTCTAGTGAACGCTGATTGGATAAGATGCTTCTCAGTGCTTTCAGAGCCTTTCTTGGGTTCTTTCGAGGAGTTTTCCTGGATCTCCTCAGTTCCCAATGAATGACTTGACGAGCAGTTTGTCACCGACGTCAAAATTCCGGATATTCTGATTTCGTCTGTCCATCCATCGAGTTAGGTGGTGTAGCGGTAAATAGATCCCCAAAATAAATAGTTCTGTAAGTCTTCGACACTGGATGCTGACCACATTAGATTTAATAAACTCACCTAGCTGAAGGCGCTCGGTCATGCATCCGCATCAGATCGCGAGTGCGAACGCCGTGCTCAACATCCCCTGCAATCGCTAGCCAGCCTAGGTCAGTCTATCCTCGATACATTGATAGCCTATCAAATAAATCTTCGAACCTCCTCGCTTCTATATTTTGATTTCACTTGGTGGGTATGATTCATATTAGAAGGTGTTACTGATTGAAGCGTTGTCGAACTCCAAAAACCTGTAGCATCTTCAGTGGTAACATGACGTCGAATATAGTTCGGATACTTCTCCGAACATCGCTTCCGCAGGAGACTTCCCATCTGGGACCATTGTATTGTTCGTAGTTCTGTAATCACATGACCTGTCATTTCCTCCCTCTTTCAATAGTGCTCTTTTGAATGTGTTCAGGAAGTGCTTTTCCTCCCCCATTTGACTGAGGGTGATAGGGTGGAGGGCGTATATGAATAATTCCAAAAATGTTGCAGAAGTAAATGAATGATTCTGAAGGGAATTTTGAGCCGTTATCGGTGCCCCAAATGCCCTGGTACCGCCAAAAGTGGAGAGAATCAGCTCTCTCGCTCTCTCCAAATGCTCTCACATTGCTACATGCATACAACCACTGTCAGGGAAGTCCTACTCATTGCTTTCTCGTGGCATTACTATTGTTTACGAAGTTGAGAGGACGAAAAGCGAATGTCAGGCACTTTTACCGGGTTTGGCAGACACGGAGGGTCCGCCTGGGGTTGTTGAAAAACCCTGATTCAAAAGTAATGGTGCACATTGCACCAAGGATCCTGAGGGAACAAACGGCGTACGAACCAATTGTTGGTCACCGGCTACCTGCGGCTGCATCTCCTGTCATCGCTCCACTGCCTTACGGATTAGACGTTTAGGTCGAAGGCTCTGAGTGTGGCCCCTCTAAGAAAGTGACGTGCTTCGGTTTGGGCACCCGAGCAGTATCTCCGCTTTCAGTAATAAGGACAGGAGGTCTATCAACCTATAATAATGCTTGCAGTTTGTAATACTGTGGAGGCCCGATCTCGTTTTGAATATATTAACAGAAGGTGCTGATATTACGGGTTCCGGTAGAGAATTCCAGCAATTCACTACTCGTTGCGAGAAACGAAAATCCAGACGTAAACGATTTGATCTCGGTTTTTGAACTTTCTTCGAATGTCCTCTAAAATGATCAGTCCTAGACGGAAGTAAAAGTTAAGACATGTTGATAACAAGGTCATCGTTCAATAAACGATAAGCGAATATAAGATCACTCCGTACTCTACGGTAAGATAACGGAAATAAGTTAAGGTGTCTCAGTCTGTCTTCATAAGATAGGCCAGCTAGACCTTGTACCATCTTAGTACTTCGTCGTTGGACTCTTTCCCGAATCTCTGCTTCATACTTGAAACAAGGACGCGCTGCTTGAATCCCGTATTCTAAATGTGGTCGCACATAAATCGGGTATAACAATCTGAACATTTCATAATCAAAATGCTGGAAAGACCTGCGAATAGACAATAATACCCTATAGCCTTTTGCAGCAGCAGCCTTACAGTGACTAGTGGTTTTGAGATCACTGCTTGATATGACTCCGAAATCTTTATAGTTTCTTACTTTGCGTAGCACGATTCCATATATTGTGTAGTGATACGAATCGTCATAGTTATTTAATTGCATCACAACACTCTTGTTAGGATTCACTTCTAGTGACCATCCATGCCACCAGTCAGTTGAGATTATCTTGAGGTACTATTCTATCTGACAAACTGTGTATGGGTCTCCAAATTTATATGTCATCAGCGAAGAGTAGAACGGATGATTTTGCTACAGTTGGTAATTCATTTACATGAAGTAAAAAGAGAAGAGGACAAGGACTATACCTTGGGGAAATCCACTTTTTACAGGTATCCACAAGGAGAGAGCCCCATTAACCCTTATCCTTTGTCTCCTGTCATGGAGGAAGTTACTTATCCAAACTACGTAATGGATTCCTTAACGTTCCAGTTTGACTTTAAGACCAGAATGAGAGACCTTATCGAAGGCCTTACTTAGACCTATGAAGGTCACATCCACAGAAATATTCCTATCGTTCGCCGCAGTCCAATCTTCTCTTACAATAAGATTTGTCAAGCATGATAGGTCTTTCCAAAAGCCATGTTGTTCCCTGGAGAAAAGACTATACCCTTCAACATAGTTTATAACAGATATCCAAATGATCTTTCCATCAGTTTTACAACTGCACTAGTTAAGCTAACGGGCCTATATTTACTAACTAAATTCATACTCCCAGCTTTATACACCGGACTTAGTATAGCGTCTTTGCAGTCTCTGGGCAGTGTGGACTGCATTAGAAACATGCCAAACAGTATCGCTAATGGTTCAGGAAATACATCTGATTTGGTTTTCATAATCCTAGGATGAATATCATCAGGACTACTTGACTTATCAGCTTTGAGATGCTGACTACAGGGTCAATCAGCGAGCCACCGCGATCACAATGAATCGTTGGTTATTCTTCATTACCGATAGCAAACACTTTACTGAAATATTCCAATAAAGCTTCAGCTTTTTCGATATCATTTTCTGCCAAGATTAACGGATTTTCTTGTATCATAAGTGATGGAATTCCATCGCTTCTCTGAGTTCGCCTTTTTGTATACGAGAATAACCGTTTCGAACTATATCTAGAGTCCCTAACCAATTGTTTTTCATATGATCGTCTAGTCTTACTTATTAACGCACTACAGGCATTCTTAATCTTACAATAACTGGATCTGCATTGTTCTAAGCCAGTAGAGATGAACATAATCCAGTGCTTTTTCCTTTTTCTAAGAAGTTTCCTGACCGTTTTAGTTATCCATGGTGGACTGTTATTCGGTCTTCGCGGTACCAGGTATGGTATGGACGAGGACGTAACGAAACTAAACTTACTTTCAAATACAGACCATGATTCTTCAACTGATAAGCTAGTATCTACGAACCAATCTGTCTTAGAAGCGCATTCCTGAATGTCTGATTTGTTAGTTTTTCATACATTTGAGAGGGGTGTAACCTGATCGTATAACATCTGTGTCTTTCACTCCTTAGGTAATGGTATCCGGATAATTAATAATAATAAAAACTTATTCTCAAATAACAGTTTGTTACATGAGGCATGCCAGTTTACAGGCAAGATCATATTGTTATAAATGATATAATATCCACTGTAGTAAATTACTCAACTGGGTTGGTAATTTGAAAGATATGAATGTAGATGGTTTTAGTCAGTATCACAGTTGGCGCGCTTCATGAAAGTTGCGTTTGTAACAGTATCGAAAATCATTACGTGTAACTTTATTAATGCAGGTTTGTTTTCCTTATTGCAGGACAACAGAAAGTGAACGTATTAGAAGAAGAGGAACAAAGCTTGCGCAAACTAAACGTGCTGGATGATGAGTAAAACTATTTTGTAACAGACTTCTCTTTTTGTACAAAAACCGCGTATTTCAATTTCTAATATATCTCTGTTGTGCTCGCACGCCGTGTTCTCACTTGAGTGGCATCTGCCAGTCCTGACTGTTGTGTTGTGTTTCAGATTGCTCCTGCCTGCAGGTAAACGCTAAGAATACGTGCTACACGTTGCGAATGTGCCACTGATGGTCAAGGATAGGTCCATTGAAGGTATGAGCTTGTAGAAATCGCGACCTTATGTCCCTTTGTAATGTCCAAGGCTTTAAGGTTGGTGCAGGATGAAGTCACCCGTTCCATATCTCAAGAGGGCGGAAAGAGGGAGCAAGTAAAAGAAAACAAGAGAGGCAGCCCAAGCTGCCAACTTTGGGGAAAATTTGGTCCATTTTGGGGAAATTTAGGAGAAGCCGCTATAGTAAATTTTGGGGAAATAAGACGCGAACCCCAAAGTTTCCTCATACGTTGGGGAAGCTTCCCCAGAATTTCCCCATAGCTGCTAGCTTGGGAGAGTAGCCAATATTCATGATTGAATGTTTAAGGTATGATTACTCAGTCTAATTCTCTTTTATTAAAGTATTTGTTAAGCAAGAGCATTTTAATAGGTTAAAGAAAATAAGTGTTAACAAGGTATGAGTGAACGTACAACTGACAAATGGAGGGGATTCAGAAAGGTTCTGAAAGTATGATATGTGTGGTCATAA